ATATATATATATATATATATATATATATATATATATATATATATATAATGTGTGTGTGTATGTATATGCATACATACACATCTATGCATACATATAACACGCATGCTTATGTACATGTATATGTGTATGTATGTATGTGTACATACACATACATAAGTGTCTGGGGTACCGCAGATTGACAAGGCTCTATTCTTACTGTACGGGGAGGAGATGAACAGTCTGAAGGTTTGAAGGACAAAGGACTTCCTGAATCTGTCTGTGGAGCAGGAATGGGACAGCAGTCTACCACTGAAGGAGCTCCTCTGTTTCACAATGGCGCCGTGCAGAGGATGATCAGCATTGTCCATGATGGATAGCAGCTTACTGAGCGCACTTTTCTCTGACACCGATGTAAGAGACTCCTGCTCTGTTCCAAACACAGAACCAGCTTTCCTCATCAGCCTGTTGAGTCACCCTGCATCTCTCCTCTTAATGCTGCCTCCCCAACACACAACAATAGAGAAGAGGACACTTGGCTACCACAGACTGGTAGAACATCAGCAGTAGTTTTCTACAGATACTGAAGGACCCAAGACTCCTCAAGCTAATCCTCTTCAAATTAATTAATATAGGAACCAGTGATCAGAAAATAGATGATTGGTCATATTTGACAATAAAAGACCAAAAAATAAATGAATGAACAAATTAAAAACAACAAATTAAAAAGAAACAAATGCATCAATGAAAACACAAACTAGAGAAATTGCATTTCCTGTGACAATGCAGAACTTGGCACTGGCTAGCCACTCTTTCAATTTGCGCGTACCTCGTCTCAATGTCACTTAGTCGTGGAGAAACAGCTGAAATTAGCTTAAAATATGCTGAAATGCAGCTGAAATGGAAGAACGAGCCTAAGTTAGCAGAAAAAAGCAGAAATAACACATTTGTTGAATTAGGTTTAATTAAGCAGAAATTAGTTAATAAATTATGAAATGTGCTAAAAAGGCTGAAATTAGCAAAAAATAGCTGACAAGTATCCTGATGATAATCCAGGTAGAAAAATCTAAAAAAGGTAAATCTGGTCCTCTGGACATTCAAAAAACAAAACAAAGTAAAACAAAAAAAAGTAGAAATGTTTCGTCTTTCATCCTGAGGACTTCCTCAGTCTGAGGTGCTGTCTTCAGCTCAGTCTCTTAAATAGCACCTTCTCAGAGTGGATCAACCAGTTTTGCTGCTGGCAACCAAAACCTCACATGCTCACATGCTCAAGAAGGACCATCAGCCTAACAATGGATCATTAGCACACTGATGGCTGTTTACTGTTCACAGAGGGCTGAGTGATACTAGCAATCACAGCATTGTAAGAGGGGGACAGTTGAACCTGGAGGCCTCCACCCCTGTTTAATGATGGACGATTTCTTTTCACAATGATGGCCTCCTTTACTCCTCTCTCAAACCATCGTTCCTCTCTGTCCAGGATGTGCACATCTTCATCCCTGAAAGAGTGACCGCTGGCCTGGAGATGATTGTAGACCACAGAATCCTGGCCTGATGATGTTGATCTTCTGTGCTGGGCCATCCTTTTGGCCAGTGGCTGTTTAGTTTCCCCGATGTAAGACTGATCACCCTCCTGACACTGAACAGCATACACAATATTACTCTGTTTGTGCTGGGGGACTGGATCTTTGGGATGAACCAGTCTTTGCTGTAATGTATTTTGAGGTTTAAAAGCCACTGGGACGTTATGTTTAGAAAATAAACGTCTCAGTTTCTTTCATACTCCCTCAACATATGGAATGACCACTGGTCTGGGTCTGGGTTCCTCCTTTTCACCTGTTGCTGACTGGAGTCCTGTTTGGGTTTCTTCTCTGCTTTCAGGAAGGCCCAGTTAGGATATCCACATTGCTCTAGAGCCTGTCTTGTGTGGGATTTCTCCTTCTGCCTGGCTCCTGAGTTAGTGACCACTAACTCACTAACCACTAACTTCACTAGTTCACAACAAAATTGTCTCAAGGCACTTTACAGAAACATTCACATATATTTAAAAAAAAGCCAAATTAATAAAGTTCTCTGTCTAAGGAAGCAGCAGACTCATTGAATCTTCACTTTGTTCATATTTAATCTACTGAAGAATACTATTGAAATGAAGACAGCTGGACATGGACATTTAGGCTGTAGTCCCAGATATTATCTGTAATTAGAAGGGTTCAAGTCCAAGTGTCAAAATGCAGATTTGGCGCTCTAGAATTACTGAGCTTACTTAAAAAATAAAATTATATTAAGAAGGGTTAGAAATTCTGAAAAATAATGCACAGATTTTTGGTTTGTGACTAATTCAAGTGACAAGACTGTCTTTGTGACCTAATGTGAGGAAATTCAAAACTCCTGCAGACATTTTGAAACATTTTGGAGATGTCCTCGCAAATATTGTTGCAAACTGGTCACTAGGTCTTAGCTCAGGAAAATATTGGCTTTGTTCTGATATTTTAAATGTGGTTCCTGGAGGTTATAATCAGACTAACTTAAAAACTGTTCAGCCCAAATATGTGAAAATAAGTTGTGAAATATGTAGAAATCAAGAAAATTTGTCTTTTAAACAAATTATTTATTGTTTTCAGTTTACAGAAACACACTTGTAGTTCAACCAGTTCTAAACAGACAAAACAACAAAAACAAACGTAATTCATACAGGCATTCTTCAGAAGGTCAGTGGTTTAGTTTCTTGCCAAGTGGGGGCTGGGGTGGGGCTAGTTCTAGAGTTTTGGCCTGTCCAAACACTAACTTTTTTATTAACAAAAACATCCAGGCCCTAATATAAACACTGAATTTCAAATTAGAATTGGCCTTTTCCCCCTCATTTCTTTTACGATTCAAGCATCACAAAAACATTTTACCCTCTACATATATGTACTGTATTCACATTTTACAAAAAAAATAAAAATAATAATCACCGCATATACTGAATAATAGGTCCCGCCTTGGATTGATCTAACAAACCTTGAAACAAAACGTGTCTTTTCTCTTCTCAGTATTAAATTTTTATTTTTTAATTTCAAGTGTGATGCCTTCAGGGACTCACTTGATGAAGGGGAAAGATTACCATCTCTGAGGACATGGGATATGAATGTTATAAAAAAAAAAAATTTTTCATTAATTTCTTGTTTTCCTCTTTTGATTTCCATCTTTAGGAGTTGGCTCATGTTAACAGTGGTGGTGGGGGGAGGTGTGGTAGTGGTGGTGGGGACCTTGTTGGGGTAAAGCAACAGTAAAGAGATGAATTACGTTGCACAAAGACAATGAATACGTCAGGTCGAGATGCGTAACATCTCTTTAAATGTTGACATTTGATGCATACACGTACAGTTTTATACAAGGAAAAGAGTTTTGTTTTGTGGTTATTTGACTGAATCATTATGCTTTTATAACTTTCATTAAAGAGGCTCTGACCGTGTTGAATAGTTAAATGAACAGCCTGTAAAAACCCTAAACACTGCAAAGATGGAAAGTAGGAAACTGTCTGGTTACGATATTTAATGCCCAATCTGCTCACACACCCCCGACAAATGTTGCGTCTCGTGACGAGCTCCAACTCAGGGAAGGTGGAGTCACTCCTTTTGAAGTGAACAAAACTGAAGGTGTTTTTTATGCTCAACTGTTTTTGCACGGGCAGTAATTGTATATCAAAATGGGAAGAGAAGTTGAGTTGTCAACAAACAGTAAGTGTGTGTGAGTGTGTGTGTGGGGGGGGGGGGGGGGGGGGGGGGGGGGGGGTGGAGAGGTCTTGGTAGAAGAGGCTTTGGTTGCTGCAGTGTGGGAGGGGTAGAGGTGGTTCATAGAGTCCAGAGACGGAAGTAGTAGTGTTGATTATGTTGTTGTTGACAGGTCTAGAGCTCTTCAGGTCTTTTATGATCGTTTCCGCCGTCCTTCCAGGTTTCTGAAGTTGGATGGACGGATCTTCATCTCTGCAAACTCAATCGAGTGCTCATGGCCTTTCCAGTGGAACCAGTTCACACCCTGAAAAGACCAACAGAAACAGGAAACGTAAAGTCACGCTTTGGTCAATAATTAATATTACACAAAGTTTTAGTCATGTCTAAAAAAGTTTAATCTGGTCCTCTGGACATTCAAAAAGCAAAACAAAACAACAACAACAACAAATGTAGAAATGTTTCGTCTCTCATCCGAGAGACTTCCTCAGTCTGAGGAGCTGTATTCAGCTCAGTCTCTTAAATAGCACCTTCTCAGAGTGGATCAACCAGTTTTGCTGCTGACAACCAAAACCAGCTGATCACATGCTCAAGAAGGACCATCAGCCTAACAATGGATCATTAGCACACTGATGGCTGTTTACTGTTCACAGAGGGCTGAGTGATACTAGCAATCACAGCATTGTAAGAGGGGGACAGTTGAACCTGGAGGCCTCCACCCCTGTTTAATGATGGACGGTTTCTTTTCACAAAGATGGCCTCCTTAACTCCTCTCAAACCATCGTTCCTCTCTATCCAGGATGTGAACATCTTCATCCCTGAATGAGTGACCGCTGGCCTGGAGATGAGTGTAGACCGCAGAGTCCTGGCTTCATGGTATTGCTCATCTGTGATGGCTCAGCACATAACAGCAACACCATCAGTCTGAGGAGTCCCAAGTAAACTGTTTTTCCCTCTAAGCAGTACACTCTTTTAGTGGACCAACCAATTTGCTGGTTTTGCTGGTGACTGATGAAGCCCTTCAAATGGAGGGTGCAAAAACGCTCTTATCTGCTGTGCTGTATTGCTCGATATCTCACAACTGTATCTTGTCCTTTATCTGTATCTGCTGGACTTTTGGATCTTCTTGTCTTTTGGTATCAACAAGTACAGAGTGAACTAAGTCAGAGAATGTATTTAAGTTTTTTGTGTACAGGACATGAACTAACAGGGAGCTGCTGGTGTGTGTCCCACCTGATGACAAGATCACCAGTAAACTGGAACGGCAGAAGAAAATAATAAAACAACTCCATAAAAGGACTTCCAGGAAATGAAGACATCAGTTTGAACTAGTTTAGACAAAGAACTGAAAGAATGCGTGACACGTTTCTGGGTGGAGCTTTTGTGTTTAAATACAGGAGAAGCTGAAGCTCCAGTCAGACGTGTCTTGGTTTTTTCTGTCTCTGTTGGTTTGGGGTAAGAGCGTCTCCTTTCAGCTGAAAGCTTTAATAAATGTTGGTAATACTTTTTAACTTGAATCTCTCTGACTGATTATTGTGTATTTTCTCCATGTATCTCTGAACCAATGAGGAGAACATGTGAATAGGCTGAAAAGCCCACAGCTCAAATTAAATAAACCAAAAATCAGCTCTAAAAATATAAACCATAAAAATCTTATTAAAATTAACAGTTATTTTACCACAGCAAAATCATAAAATCATTAAATGTGTATTATTGAACATCAGATCTCTTTCCTCTAAATCTGAACAAAGGTATTCACAAATTGAAAAAGAATGTCTTGCAAGTGTGTGGGCATGTGAAAAGTTTTCAAGATACTTACAGGGTATGAAAAAGTTTTGTCTCCAAACAGACCACAAGCCGCTTGTCCCACTAATAAACTCTTATGATTTGGACAAAGCACCAATCAGGTGTCAAAGACTCCTGATGAGGCTGATGAAGTTCAACGCAGAAGCGTGCCATGTACCAGGAAAACCAGTCATTGTGGCTGACACATTGTCACGCAACCCTTTACCAATCAGTGGTGAATCAGACACAGAAGATGATGTCAGAGCATATGTACAGGCAGTGATTGAAACTAGGCCGATAACAAAAGACAGATTGGATGCCATCAGACGAGCCACCTGTCAAGATGCAGATTTACAGACTGTATGTAATTATGTCAGTAATAAGTGGCCTGAAGAACCTTCACAGGTTCCCAACACCCTGTGGAGTTTTTATGCTGCCAGAGCTCATCTGTCGACAACTGATGGTCTACTTCTGTATGACGACAGAATTGTTGTTCCAGAACTACTGCGTCGACAGGTGTTGTCACAGATTCATGATGGTCACCAGGGCCAAACTAAATGCAAACTTAGAGCCAACATGTCAGTATGGTGGCCAGGGATTGGACGAAACATCACAGAATTGGTTAGAATGTGTAAGTTTTTCCAAGAAAATAAAGCATCTCAAAGAAAGGAGTCTTTGATTCCAACACCTCTGCCAGATGGAGCAGGACAGAAGGCTGCAGCTGACATTTGTGATCATAATGGGAAACATTACTTGGTTGTAGTGGATTATTTCTCACGAGATATTGAGATTGCACATTTATCTTCCATGACTAGTCAACAAGTCATTTCCCATTTGAAAAGCATCTTTGCTAGATGGGGGATCCCTTTTGAGCTGATAACTGATAATGGAACGCAGTTTACATCAGTTGAGTTCAAGCAATTCAGTGCAGCATACAACTTTAAACATACATCCAGTCCACACTACCCCCAGGCTAATGGAGCAGCTGAAAGAAGTGTTGCAGTGGCAAAACATATTCTGAGACAGCCGGACCCGCATTTAGCTCTTTTAAGCTACAGAGCTACTCCTCACACGGTGACAGGATTGTGCCCAGCACAACTTATGATGGGAAGACAGGTCAGGACAACAGTTCCCATGTTGTCAAAACATCTTTCTCCAAGTCAAATAAACTATTATGCGGTTCAAGAAGTAGATAAGAAAACTAAGGATTCGTACTGCTATTTCTACAACCGACGACACTCTGCTCGACCATTGCCTGAATTACAAGAGGCTCAGGAAGTGAGAGTCAAGTTGGATGGACAAAAGAACTGGGGGACTTCTGCAAGGGTTATTGCTCAGGCACCAGAGCCCCGTTCTTATTTTGTACAAACTGGAAATGGACATATCACTCGCAGAAACAGGAGACATATTCATCTGGTGCCAGAAACAACACCAGAGACTCAGTTTAGAGAGACTACTGACCCAACATCTGGTTTGGTGCGCAACTCAGATGCTATGAATTCTACACACACGCAGGTTTCTGATGTTGTTATTCCACCGTTGAGCCCGAAACCTGCAATGCAGCAAACCTTGTCTGGGAGAGTTGTCAAACCTCTGGTCAGGCTCAAGGATTATGTTATGACTTAATATTTGAACTTCAGTGAATGAATGAAAAAAAAAAAAAAAAAAGGAATGTTAATTGTGTAATTTTACAAGGTTCTATGTTTTTCACCTGTTGTAGGAGTTATATCAGCATGTTGTTTCATTGTAAAACAGGGTTTAAATACTGAAGAAGTCAAAAAGGGGGAGATGTAATGTGATTTACTAATAGTCTTGTTTAGTCACTAGGGGGCACTGCAGGATAAGACAGGGACATAATGGATGAGGATGGAATGCAACTAATTATATAACACCTGTGGATATAACGAGGGGTACGTAGTTAGGGAGAGAGCTAAAGCTGTTGAAGACTGACAAATAAAGTTGCTGAATGAAAACCCATGGAGAGTGACTTGACTTCATGACACCTTGTTGGTTAATGAACTGATAACTGATCATCATATTGATTTATTCTGTCTGACAGAAACTTGGCTACAACAGGAGGATTTTGTTAGTATAAATGAATCCACTCCTGTTAATTATTTAAATGTTCATGTTCCTAGAACAACTGGCCGAGGTGGAGGAGTAGCTTCTATTTTTCAGTCAGGATTATTGATTAATGCCAAACAAGTTATTAGTTATGATTCTTCTGAATCACTGTCTCTTAGTCTTTCTCATCCAAAATGGAAATCAGAAAAGCAACTTTTACTAGTTGTTATATATCGTCCACCAGGCGCTTACTCTCAGTTTTTGTCTGAATTCTCAGAATTCTTAACTGACTAACTATTAAATACTGATAAAATCATCATAATGGGTGATTTCAATGTTCATGTAGATGTTGAAAGTGATAGTTTAAGCATAGCCTTTAATAATTTAATAGACTCATTTGGTTTTACCCAAAACGTCCGCACATCTACTCATTCTTATCATCACACTCTTGATTTAGTTCTGACCTATGGTATAGAGATTAAGGAATTGGTAATAGTTCCTCAAAATCCTATTCTGTCCAACCATTTTTTAATAACCTTTGAGTTTACATTAAATGACTACACAGTCACTGAGAGTAAATTTCATCTCAGCAGGTGCTTATCAGAAAATGCTGTAACCAAATTTAAACAATCTCTTCCATCAATGTTTTCCTCTGTCTTGCAGAGTATTGCATCAGAGAACAGTGACTTAGATCATCTAGTTGATCATCTTACAACTTCAATACAAACTTCACTTGATAAAATTGCTCCACTGAAAAAGAAAGTAATCAATCAGAGGAAACTGGCTCCTTGGTTCAATTCTGAGTTACGTACTTTAAAGCAGGCATCTATAAACCAGGAGAGAAAAAGGCGCTCTACTAATGTTGAAGAATTTTATTTAACTTGGAAAGATAGTCTGCTAACATATAAAAAAGCTCTCCGTAAAGCTAGAACTTCATATTACTCATCTTTAATAGAGGAGAATAAAAATAACCCTAGGTTTCTGTTTAGTACTATTGCTAGACTAATTAAAAGTGCCATTTCTGTTGAACCATGTGTCCCTACAACTATAAGTAGTGATGACTTCATGAGATTCTTTATAAATAAAATTATTTCAATTAGAGAGAAAATTCAAACCATCATTCCTTCTACTATCTCTAGTCCCCTGTCAAATGAGGCAACTTTAAAAATTTCACTAGAGCCTGATTTATGTTTGGACAGTTTTTGTCCTGTTGAGCTCTGAATTGTCAAAAATAATAACCTCATCCAAACCATCCACATGCCTGCTAGATCCCATCCCAACCAGACTGTTTAAAGAGGTATTTCCCCTAATTAATGTCCACATTTTGGATCTCCTTAATTTGTCTTTAATGGATGGTTATGTACCACAGCGCTTTAAGGTTGCTGTAACTACAAGCATGTCTTAAAGACATAAAAACCTGGATGACCCTTAATTTTCTCCTGTTGAACACAGACAAAA